ATATACACATGATTGCTAACCGGAAATCAAATCAAATAGATACAAAACAGAACGGATACATAATGAATGACGTAACAGAGAAACGATGAAGAAATTGCGGTTTGGATCGCATGCGCACAAGAAACTTGAAAATCTATCAAACTATACTGAAGAAACCACATGTACACGATCTAACACGAGATGAAATGTTTTATTGAGTTTAAGGAGCTGGTATGCAGCATAGCACGTATCAACGCACTGCGTATAAATATTATGAGCATAGAACATATATAAACTTATAGATAAATGCAAACGTACTTACCAATTACCGGCTGCTGCTGCTCCTGATGTCCACCTGACTTGCTGACAAACGTGACTGCTTTGCTAGGCGGCGTAAGCTCACTATTTTATACGCGGTCAGTCGGCCTTTACGTACACGTGAGCGTGGCTAGCAAGGTACACCGTAAATATCAAAAACCACACGCTTGTCTGGCGTGCGTGGGTTCAACCTGTTGATTGGAATTAAGATGAATTACCATTCAGGTGGCTTCAATACTGATACGTCACAAGCGTGCGGGCTGCAGACAGCGCTCCGGCGTCGTTGTGCGCGTGTTGTGGTGTTGAGCGTCCACTAACAGTCTGTGAGTTGAGCCCGCGCCGGGGCAGGCATTTCTGAAGGTGCTAAAAACCTGGCTCTCAATATTGGAGACTGTGATCTGCCGTGTCGGATACAGCGGTAAAATGCGGTCCGCTCTCCAGGATTAGTAAATATAGTAAATACTAAGACCAATGGGGACGTAAAAGAACCACGAGGACGTAAAAAAACTCGGGCTGTGACGCACCTCTCAGTGCCATATCGGCTAAAAAAAGGCTACTACCTGGAGAACCAGCAGGTCACACTCCATCGGCTAGCTATGAGTTTATTCCTTACGACTCTGTCGCAGTATAGAATAGAAGTAAGAATTCAGATTCACTACGGTGAGATATGGCGCAGAATCTTCCACCCAACTTAAATCCTTTCTAGCACTCTAGACTACAGTTTTCGTGACATTCTGTTTTTCAGTAACAATGTGCAATGCGAGCGAGCGAGGGCGTGTTGTGCGTGGTGGCGTGCGAGCGAACGAGCGCGTGCGTGCGTGTGTGCGTTGCGTGAACGTGCGTGTGTGTGTGCGGTGCGTGCGGGTGGGTGCATGGGGCTTCTCGCGGGTGGCGGTGAGTGGGCTGCATGGTATGCATGCATACGTGCGTGCGTGGCGTGTGGCGTGCGTGCGTGCGTGCGTGCCGTTGCGTGCGTGCGTCGCGTGCGTGCGTCGCGTACGTCGCATGTGTGGTGTAATAATGGCAGTTAACGCACGGAGCCATTAAACGTAAAAGCCCCGGAAAAAACGGTGTTGATTACCGACGAATTTCATGCATATTTTTATTTCTGATCTCGAACGTCATATGCGCCCATCCCCAGGGTTACGGTCGCCAGCGGAGGCGTTGCCATGGTAAGGCCGGTAATTGGGCGCACAGGCGATCACCAGGATGAGGCGGCGCTGCATCTACGCTGGCTCGGCCGGATGGCTAGAAGTATGTATATTTCGCATACACACGCACGTACGCACCGCATGCACGTAGGACCTACGCAACCACGCACACAGACACACGCGCACGTCTCTCCTCCTTCCACCGCTTCTCTGTCTCTCTAACGTCTTTATCGTCGACCGTCTTTCTCTCTGTCTGTCTGTCTTTCGCGTCAGTCAGTCCGTCCGCTCGTCGTCCGTCCCGTCGTCCGTCCGTCCGTCCGTCGCCGCGCGTCGCGTCGTCCGTCCGTCCGTCCGTTCCGTCCGTCGTCCGTCCGTCCGTCCTCGTCGCGTCCCGTCACGTCCTTCGTCATCCATGCCATCCATGCATGCATGCATCATCACCATCCATCTATCCATCCATCCATCATCTATCTATCGCCAGCATCCATCCATCCATATCCATCCAAATATCATCCATCCATCGCATGCGTCATGCCCATACATCCATCGCATCCATCATCCATCCATCCATCCATCCATCCATCCATCCATCCATCATCATCCATCCATCCATTCCATCATCCATCCTCATTCATCCATCTATCCAATCATGCATCTATTCATCCAATCATCCATTCTACATTCCATACCATTCCATCATCCATCCATCTCCATCCATCCATCATATCACATCATCCATCACCATACCATGCCATCCAATACCATCCATCCATCCATCCATGAACCATCCATCCATCCATCGAACCATCCATCCATCACCTGCATCCATCCATCCATCACATCGCATCCATCATCCCCGACCATGCCATTCCATCCATACTCCATACCCCATCCCATCTATCCATCCATCCATACCACCATCATCATGCCATACAGCTCCCATCCATCATCCATCAGCATGCCTTCATCATCCATGCATCATGCGCACATCGCGCTATTCTATGTTGCCGTCTATGCTTTTTTTCTCCATAGTCTCCTAGTTACTACTTTCTCTAGCCTCCATCATCTCTCCGCCCGCCCTCGCGGCTCACGTTTATATATAGATATATGCGAGCGCAATGATATATATTTATATACGCACGCATATCATATATGCTGCGTCTCTCTCTCTCTCGGGGCCTATACATTGCGCAGCCTAGACGAAACTGCAGGTTAGAGTTAAGAGCCGCCATGTCAGAGAGGCGTGCGCGCGCAGCGTGCGACATGATATTAAG